AAATGATATTCCCACGGATCAGCTGCTCCTCCCCATTCATGATAGGAGAAAACCAGTGCCTGTTTGACCATAAAGAAGCTGATGTGACCCTTGTGAGCTACATGCTGCATAACATTAGGCAGAAAAGCAAGAGGAATGTCCAGATCACCTGCATTTGACACACGACGTGTGTGTGCGTGTGTATGTGTATATGCGTGTGTGCGTGCGCGTGTGATATTCTTGGTCTATGGTACACTAGAACAGCTATAGCGCCATTTGTGAGCCACATTGAGAGCGCATTACGCGTGCAAAGACGAAGTCAGAAAAGAAGTAGAAGTGAACGTCAGTTTCATTGTGTCCTATCGAACTCTCTAGCTCTCAATTTATTACTAGGCCGTTTCACCGCTGACTGAACTGTCATATTATAATCGTTAAGATACACTGTCATAAAAACGCGTTGGCGCACTTGGGGACCTGGGAAATATCTCTAATTTGTCCTATATTCTAAATCACTGGGTTGTTATATATTTCATAATAAAAGACTTGACACTTATGAATAATACAAACATGTACAATAAATAAAAGTTTTAAATTGTTAACAGTTTAAAAATAGAGTAAATTTGCATCTAATTGTCTATCAACATCTTGGACTCATTTTTTTCAAGTTTTCTCTAATAAATAAAATGGAGTGAGGCGGTCACAGGGAGGCTAGTAAAGTGTATCCGCTATCATATCACTGACACACATGCAGAGATTATAGTTTGAATATGAAAGTACAACAAAAAAAATTGATGTGATAAGTTTTATAAAAACAATTATATCAAAGTACAACCAAAAAAATGCATATTATAAATACATTTATAGCGTCCGCTACACTCAGTCATACCACTGTTTGTACTCAGAGCTAGCATGGAACAGCCTCGTGTCTTCTATCAGAATGAAGGCCCTGTTGGGGCTGGCCTACACAGTGAATCAATGCGCGGCTGTCTTGAGATCCACAAGCAAGCAACGCAGCTCTGCCTCGATGCTATCGGTATGATCAGGGTGACAGCTAGTATTAGCAACTATTAGTAAATGCTGTAGTGTAAAACTTGACTGTTTCTAGGATCG